GTGATGTTGTGCTTTTTCACCTCGTCGCTGTGGACGTGAGAACAGAGATGTCTCACACAGCTTAGGCAGCTAGTTAGGATAGGTTTGAGCCAGTTGTCAAATTAAGGAAAAGAAAAAAAAACTTCACAAAGATATTAATTGCTCTTATTTTATTGGATCAAGGAAGCTTGTAAGGGATGTGAAAAGAAGGTTGCAGATTCTAGATAACACAAGTGTGTCTATTCAGGAAGAGAATGAAAGTTCGTGGCCAAAAAAAAAAGTGAAACTGGATCATGTGGGATCAGGCAGCCGCTGGAGTCGTCATGAGGTCCCGGGACTGTTCTTAGTTTTCACAGTGTTCTATTAGATTTCTCTGTGAAAAAGCAAAAGCCGTGAGTAGGGAGGTGACACCAGGGACAAGAAAGCAGGGGGAAAGCTCAGCGGAAAACAGCAGATTGTGGAGCAGTGTAGACACTGAGACAGCTGACTGCAGGAAAGACAAATTACTTGCTCCTCTCACAATGAGTTGCTGCTGCTGAGCTTTAACCTTCGTGCTAGAGCTCTCTGCCTCATCCTCCCAGGTGGGAGATGCAGTTCCCTGATCAGCTCCCAGCACCTTCCTCCATGCGGAGGACATGTAGGCAGAGCAGGGAGAGGAGGCATTGACACCACCTCCCTTATCCCGTTGGGAACAAACCCCACCCTTTCCTCTTGGAAAACGAGGGTTGTTGCAAGGCAGGGATGGGAAGTGGGACACTGTCCCACACTGCTGGCGGAAGGCAACTGTGCAGCGCTTTGTGAAAGCTTCTAATTTCTCTTCCAGAGAGAAAAAGGTGCAAAAACACAAACAAAAAGGCTGCAATTACCGTCACTGTGAGCATCGCCTGCTTCATATCTGGGGTGAGACTTTCTGCACAGTCCTTGAGGTCAAGGGCAGCTCTTTTTACTAGAGGGAGGGTAGGCGAGAAGTGATTGATGAACTCCAGGTACTGATTTTCAGAGGAGAAGAGAAGCTTCTGCATGAAGTTTTTCAGAACTTCACAAGCAGCAGATGCTGGAAAGAGAAAAAAAATGGAAGCAGGTGTGAAGGGCTGACAATCACAGCTTGCAGCACAGCTCTCAGGGGCTGTTTCTCCAAACCTGATATTTTGGGGTCTGTATTTTTTCAGGAGGGTGGAGATGAGAAAATGAGCATCCAGATGTAAGTAAAGCCGTCAGGGACAGATGTGGTAACTTGGAGGCTTGAAAATCCACAGCTCAGCCACATCTGCCCTCTGCGGCCATGCACACTGGGCCTCTCGCTGTGGGTCCACCTTGGCACTGATGTTACTTATACCCCCTGTATACTGTGGCAACTGTGGTTGCCTCTCTGCRCTCCAGTGACTCCCTGCCTTGTGCTCCAAGACATAAATGAGGGTGTCTACAAAGGCTGCTAACTAAAAGTGAGCAAACTGACGTTCCCTAGGGTGATTTAACCATTGAGGGTTACCTGACCGTGGCACCCATCCCACCTGCACAGCGGTTGTCGCTCAACCCCTGAACAGACAAAACTCTGCCAGGCCCCTCATGCCAGGAGGGCTTCATATTTGAAGTCTGAAGTGTCTCATGGGTTGGCCAGAGGTTGTGGCGTATGGGAATCGTACTCACGGGAGCAGCCATAGGACACGAGGGCGACCAGCAGGAAGACAGTTGCCAGCTTCATGGTGGCAGCAGCTCCTTCCGTCGCCTTCAGTTCTCGCCAAGCGGTTTGGAGCCTCACGTGCTGGCATCACCTTTATACCCGGAGCGGTGGGCTGGGCTCCTCCTTCGGCGCTGGCAGCCGTCGCGTGGCCTCCCCTTCCCTTCCCAGCTCGGGTGTATTTACTTTAGGGAAGATGCCAGCGCCCCTTGTTCCTTCTTCTCCTCCGTTGGTGGCTTCTGGGAGAGCTCTGCCTCCTCCTCGAAGCCGTAAAGCAGAGGCAATTTTCTCAAACCCAGTGCCGTGTCCTCTGCTACCTGCTKCAGGCTGCAGAGCTACAGCCACCCTGAAGGAGAAGGTGTGTTTTCTATTATGTAATTTGTTCTATACACAAGAAAACGGAAATGTTGAAGGTGGGTGTTGAGAAACCTGGAAACACCAGAAACCAGCTTTGCTTCCTTAAGCCGTAAAGCTGGCCAGATTATTCCTGGCCCACAGTGAGTGCCTGGACTGGTGAGCAGCCCAGTGCTCTAGCTGGGGAGAGACTGCAAGAAAAATCACTTACCCTGTTCCTCAGAGGAAAACTTCTGCCCCAGCGACGATCTTCAGTTGAAAACAGGCTTCCAGAGTCCTTGACAAGGTGCACGATGGCCCTGGAGGCAGGAAACAGCATTTGGAAAGATGCTTAGCAGCCTTGGCACAGGCTGCTAAGCTGGCTTTGTGCTTAAGCTACTTAATGTCATCAGGGGATTTGTCTGAAAGCATTCATTTTTTTCTYGTTTTCCTCCTGCGGACAATATTGTCAATGGTTGGGTCGCTGGAAGCCAATTTGATTAATAATAGTAGTTTTGGACTAATCTCTGAACCAGCCAAAGATCAAGCCTGGGTCCTAACATGGTTGAAACACCCGCCTYGAGGGCTCAGGTTCAGGGGGACCTGGTGAAATGAGAAAACAGGGACTGGAAGAAAGGAGGGGTATGGAAGCGCTGGGGAGCCCAGCTCTGTCCCAAGTATCRCTTGTTTCCTTTGATTCTCCTGACATTCAGTTTTCACGTTGTTGAAAACRCACGTTATTTTTTAATCCATGCAATCCTTGCAGTGAAGTGTCTCGTCTTGCCCTTGCTTCTGCCCCACAAATAGAGGCCCTGGGAGCCCTTTCTTAGCCATAGTACCACTAGGGAGCCCTGATGTCTATCAAGAACACAGCGCTTCCAGACCACCTTATCAGCGAGCATCTGGGGATAAAAGGTGCCCAGGAAAACCTGCAAGAAACAGCAAAATTTGGCCAGGGCTGCCGCAGGGGGGTTGTTCATTTGTTTATTGTTCTCAGAGGCGACGTTTTGTGCAGTGCAAACAGGTGCTTGGGAGGACAGTCTGTCACCTGGAGCAAAAGGTAGCGGCAGGTGAGACGGAGAAACCCCGTGGCATTTGGCATGGAAAGTTACAGGCAGAAAGCGCCGCTTGCAGAGTGCAGTAGCCCTTTGCAGCCCACCAACAGATTCACCTCCCACGTTCTCTTCTGCAGTAAATGCCCCCATCAGCTCAGTCTTCACTTGCTAGAACTGGAACAAAATCAGGACAAGGTCAAATAGGGCTCCATTTTCTCCAAACACTCCCGACTCTGGCCCGTTTCCATTGCAATTGCAACCTCTTCCTGTCTGTCCCTTTGCCAAAGGATGGTTTGTGCCTCACAAGCAAGAGGTTACACCTTGGACAGGGCTGTAGGTCCCAGAGCCAGCCTTAGGCTCAGCAGAAGGAGAGGCAAAAAAGGCATCAACCACCAAAAACAGGCAGGGCTACTCGAGTTGCACAAGTGCTGCATTACACTTGCTTTATTTTAATTCAATGTGTAAGGAACACCTAGGTGCTTCATGGAGGACAGGGAATGCCAAAGCAAGCAGGGACCCAAATTCCACTTAAGCTTTGTCTGGGGTGCCAGGATCATATGCCCACTTGGTTTTGAATAGCACTAATTCTCAGAAAATAAACCTCTTGCTGCAGTTTCAGCACCTCTSAACCACAGTTGGACCAGACCTGCTACCTGGCTTGGGTCCCCCAACAAAAATACACAAACAAAACCCCCATCCAAGGAGAATGAAATGCTGGGAAAGGGCAGCAATCCTGGCAGCAGCATGAGAGGCCCTGGCTCATGGTCTTAGTCCATGTACTAGGAAAAAGACCAGGTAAGASAAGAAAGGGTTTTCCGTGTCTTTTTTTCCTCCTTGTTTAGGACAAAGTTAATTGTGACAATTTGCTCAAAGAAACTTTTATTTTTAATTTTTAAAAGCATAGCTGCTAAAGTCTTCAAGAGCTCTTCCCACTCTGCTTACCTTAAAGAAGGACCCCTGAAGCATCTGCTGACTGACAGGACCAAACCAGGTAATTTTGTTGAAGCCAGCAGTATAAAAGTGGAGTAAAACACTTTAGGGATGAYCATGTAACCATTTCCCTTGAGGCTCTTTCATAGCTGCAAAGCAGTTGTGGCAAAAATCACAGTTAGAAGTTTTACCATTATTACCTAGTTCAAGTGGTCATTGATCACCAGAAGCCAGTTTTCCCTTGGCAGACAGGAATTTGCTCTCTAATTTTTTTTTGTTGGGCTTTGTACAGTGCCAGTCTTCCTGGTTCAGGAAAGCATCCGACTTTTGCCTTTGCTAATAACAAAATTAAATACGTTTTTGTAGGTTTGGACATGGTCTTAAGGTCAATGAGGAGACATGCCTGGCCTTAGAGTAGAACAGGTTCAGAGCAAGAGGAGATGGATGAAAGGACAGAAGGTAGAGAAGAACAAAAGGACACAAAGMGGAGGTAAATAATGATTGCGCAGAAATAGGTAGGTCACCTTTTCTTTTATGACTGGATTACAAACCTGTGCAATGCTTTAATGTCAGACACCTGATGAAATAGCTGTGCAGACCTGCAAGACTGTACTGTAAAACACATGCACGTAGAGCTCAGACGAGGCTGCTGGGGCAGGCAGGAATCAAAACCAAGAACATACCTGAAATCAGGAGTTAAAAGTAACAACTTTAAAAGAAATCTTAGTTGGAATTACCTAGATTTTTTTTTCTTTAATACCATAGGCCCATTGTGATTCCAGAGTCTGTGAGTGAAGTTCCTGCTCTGTCTGGCAGCAGCGATTCTGATCATTTTCCAACTTAGACAAAAATAGAAGTGAGTTACAAGGGGCATAAGTTAGTTCAAACTGAAGTCATCTATTTCTTAGCAAAGATTTCTGGGAACATGTAACCAGGCCAGACTGGTTCATTCCCCAGCCTGAAACTATGCAGAGTCCAGAAGAGAAGACCAGAAGGGATGCTTTAACTCACTTTTATCAAACTACTGTCAAACATTCAAAGGCATTCAACATTCCAGGTCTTTCTACCATTCTAGTAAGCTTTCTTACAAAAAGRCTCCAAGTACTTTAAGATTGCAGTACAAAATTCAAACTACAGAGCATCTATCAAAAACAGTCATGTCACAGATACATACTGATCAAGAGCATAGCATCAAGCAGTTGCTGTATTTGGACGAATAAAGACCCACATAATTTTAAAGATATTTTCTTGAAAAGAGTCCAGTTGCTGCACACACAAGGAAAGGTGCCATTTCCTCACATTCTGTACAGTTTACAATGCAGTTTTTTTTAAAAAAAGCACGCTGGTGATATGTACATTAAAAGGTTGTCTTCAGTCTTTTGTCCACTGGAATTGCAACCGTGAACATATTTGTCCATCTCTAAAACAAATCAAGCCTCAAGTAAAAGATGAATCTGAGGTAAGTAGATAGTTTGCTTTTGCACAAGACAAATTTCCACAACAACCTAGAGAAATACAACTGTTTCCTTTAAAAATCTTTGAGTACCTAGTGCCCTAGAGATGCCTCTAGTCTCTTTACAGAAAGGAGCTCACTGCAGAGAATGCACCAGCTCAGTGCCATTTGTGAATTAGGTGTGGAAGAACTGACCAAAATAACAAGGGATCTCGGAGCTTAAAATCTGAGCTGAGTTTTTGCCATTAAGAGATAGGGTCTGATAATACTCCATCTGACATTGTCTTATGGAGTACATGAAGTGCAAAACAGAGGCCTAAAAATAAAGCCACCTTTGACGCTGAGTAAATGAAATTGGCACAGGGGAATAAAGAGCAAGCCAGAGATTAAGGCCAAACTCGTCATTTCAATCCAATCTGCTACGAACAAAATTTAAATTAAAAAAAGAGTATCAGAACTTCTGTATAATTTCATTTAAAAAGCCTAAAACAACAATGGCTGTTTGTGCTAGCTTAGATTTTTCTGGAGACAGTTAGATGGAGGGCCTTTCTGCAAGAATTGAAAGCCAATAAAGGGAAATCCTCGCAGTAACTTCCCAGAGCTGTGGTAAAATCAGTATTGTCCATCCGCACAATCCCTTGATGTTGGTGTAAAGTCTACAAGCGAAAAAACAATCAAATTGTTTTTGCAGCCTGCAGATGAAGGCCATACCTGCCAGCATCTTGTTCTTGGCGCAGTCCAGAGGCACCTATCTGGGTTCCATGCAGGATACGCGCGGCGATCCTTGCCGCAAGTGCCAGTACTTTGGTTGGAGCCTGGAGACGGGCAGGAACAGTTTGGACAAATCACCTTCTTCGGCAGCAGCTACCGGGCCTGCTCGGCTGGAGGATTGTGGTGCTCTTAGGTGACGAGCTCTGATGACCTACAGGTCGAAACGTTTCCTAACTGTGGGCTAAGATTAAAGGGAGATGCATCTTTCACCACCAAGATCTCCCAAAGGTTTGGGTTGGCTGAGCAGGGATAAAAGAAAAATAACCGCCCAAAATAGAAAATGCAAAAGGGCCGCTAAAAACTGGCATTTATTCAAGACTAATACCTAAAGATTTACAGACACTGAATGATAACTTTCTTCCTTGCCTAGAGGAACGTAAATGCATACTTGCTGTTCCACAGGAGACAGCCACTGCCCCCTCTCAGTACTTTTTCAGGCTGTAGGGCAGCCCTAGAACTGACTTGGCCCCTGCAAACGGCGGGGAGTTCCAGACGGCAGAGCTGGTGCGCTTGAAGTAGCGGGGTTTGCTCTTGTAGAAGATGTCCTCCAGCTTGGGGCTCACGATGGCCCCGAAGAGCGCGTCCACGTTGGGCGGGTTGTAGTACTGGCGGATCACAGCTTGGCTAAGCTGGTTGCCTGCAGRGAGAGGAGATGAGGTTACCATTCATTTATTTTAACTGAAATGGCTGTGTGTGATGCCTGTGTACACTATGTTCCTGCTCCCCTCATTACTAAACAGAAAACTGTAGAAATACCAGAAAACTCCTGTAATATTTGGTGCCTTAAGGCACATTAGTGCTGCCTTAGGCAGCAGGATACATTGACCAGGGGTAAATACTGCACTAGTTCAGAATATCCTTCCCCTTACACTGGCAAAAATGCCATTAGCAGCACAGTTGACAGGTTTTTGTGCAGTTTTTGTCTATGAAGGTCCCAGGTAGCAGAGAATTCCTCGACCCAACAATTCCACCCACACCGCCCCAGGTTGACACTTCTGCGCAAGCAGCATTAACCAGGAAAAAAAGCTGTTCTAGCAAGTCTGGCCRTCAGTAAGAGTAGAACAGCAGTGGGAAACACCAGCAACTCCCCATACCCATCACAGCCAGCCAACACGTACCACTAGCCCAGGCAGGAATGGGCTTTCGCGGATGGCTCTCGTCATCCGTGGAGTCATCGCTATTCAGATCCATGCCGTAGTTATTTGGGTTTATCGTGGGGGGCTTAGGACCTTTCAGGCCCTGTGGGGTCATCTGGTAGGAATTGCACACAGGAGAAGTCTGGAAGAGGGATGTAACAGTCGTTAGACACCGTAGCACAGCACAAGTAGCTGCCGAGTGGTGGTAGGGCACTYGGTCTGCAGCACCTCACTGCTCTGCCTCTTGCCTTAGCTAGTAATTACAAGCCCCACTGTTGCAAGGTTTGGGCCCAACTGCAGCTCCACGTTGCTTTTTCCAATTAATCCAGCTGCTTATCAGCTATGTATGGCAAGCTGGCAATACAACCTAATATAAACACAGCAGTTCCACTTTACTCAAGCAAGGATAAATGAAGCTGCTACATCCCAAGAGCTGCAAGTGAGCAGTGTCTTTCAAATACTTTGGTCTTAATAATATTAAATGGAATGTTATCTTGTTCAGAAGTAACTATAACACATTTCAGGACAAACTTAATGTAATTTTGATGGGAACAGCATGACCGAGTGAAATGCAGAAACAGKTGATGAACGCAGAAGAGATGAAGGTAGAACTGCACATTTCATCAACCACAAAACGTTAAGTCGGTTTCTAAGAGGAGAAGTAAGTGTCTCTAGAAATCTGGAAACAGTTTTGCTCCCTAAAAACAGAATCATGAAGAAGGCAAAAATGAAAGTCATTTCACTCTTTTTGCATTTAAAGATTAAAATGCCTAGCTCTGCAAGCAGGTAGAATAAACGTCTCTATTTTAAAAACTCCAGTSGAGAATATTCAACTCCAGGACCACCTCAAGTGCATTCAGCAGGGTTTGCAAGCACAGTATTGGCTGCAGACTCTGCTGCCACCCTGTGGCTGTTTCCCTTTTTAGGCTTAAACGTCACCCTTTAAATATCCCTGCTGTTAGTGGGGTCAGTGCTCAGACAAAAGCAATGTAGCTAAGCAAAGGAACCTTAATTTCAGGTTCACCCTCTTGTGCTGACAACTGGAAAATTCTGGCAAATGTCTGTTGTTTCTTACAAGTCATTTACTCAAGGCTACCTGGAATCAGCCTCATAATCAGTGAGATTTCATAGGATCCCTTCATTACTGAAGGGGGACAAAAAAATATGGTAAAACTGCCCATAGCAACAGCACCTCAGTGCTGGAAACTGAGTTCTCTGATGTGATCCTTTAAAGAAATGCCACCAGAGAGAGCAGAATTACCTCTTTCTTCTCTAGGTGCTGTGTTTGGGCACCATCCTTAGCCTTTTGTTCCTCTGGCACTGTCTTCTCCTCTGGCTCCTGCTTCGTGGTCTCTGCTAGCCTCTGCTCCTCCTGCTGGCAAGCCCACGTCACAGGCACGTTAAGCTTAACACCTCAGTAACTAAGCTGCTCTGCTATCCCAGGGATGGTTATTATATATTTTGCATCTTGAGTAATGATTTGAGATGCAATAAATCCAATCATCTAGTGGCCAGTGTGAACACAGRGCAGGCAGTAACCGAAACCTCCCCAGCACTCTGAGCTCTCCTCCGAGTGCCGCAGCTCCATCAAGGAGAATGATGGTATAACAGAAAGCTTGGGCCGTTTCCAGCYGTGTTTCCTTATTCTCTCATTGGAATCCTCTCAAAACAGAGGTGCRGATTCTCCCCACTTATTTTATAAAGTCAAAATAGCAAAGGGATTCCTGCAAAATCCCATTAGTTGCAAGGAAAACCCTTGGAAAGGGGCATTCCAAAAATTACTTGAATAGCCTGCAGGCTCTTAGTCCCCGTTCAGGTGAATATGCATGTTGCTAAAAGTGCCTTCTCTTGGGTTTAATGCAGAAGTGCAACAAATCCCTCAACGGGGTCGTTAGCAGCCCCCGAGCTACAAAGCCGTCAGCAGCGGTGGCTACTAAGGTCAATCCTCAGCTCTAAGGAGCTACTGAGGAACAGAGTGGCCTTACTTCCTTCTTCTCCACCTCCTTGTGGAGCTGTTCTTTGGCAGCCAGCAGCTCCTTCTGCAGCCGAGCAGCCTTCTCCTGCTCTTCACGCTGCCTGCGAACCAAAGTAACAGATGATTAGGCTCTGAATTGCCCAGGATATCCCCCTTCTGTAGGGCCTGCCGCAAGCCCTGCTTATTTTCTTGCAACTTTCAGGGCACTTGCCACCATACTTGCTACTTTTTCAGGCCCAGAATTTCTGCCAGAGCTGCCCAAAACAGCTCTTCTCTGCTAGGACATGGCAGTAGTGGTTCCCTTCCAAGCCCTGGCACGACATTTAGTGCCCAAATRGGGATGACCTTACTTCTCTGCCTGGATCCGCTCCTGTTCCTTCTTGCGCTCCAGCTCTCTCTCTGCCGCCAGCTGTTTCTCTCTCTCCTGTTCTGCCAGTCTCTGCTCAGCGATCTTCCTCACACGCTCCTGCTCCTCCTCCTTTTTCTTCTGCAGTAGCTCTCTGTGCCGACGTTCCTCCTCCTCCTCCTGGTAAGCACAAGACTCGTTACTAACCCCACATCYTACAGGAACAAGTTCCAGAACGAAACAAAATCAGGCTCAGCTTTTTCAACCCAGTCTCCAACAGCAATCAGTCAAGCAGTTGCACACACAAATACCAGGCAGAGCACGTGCTCCCAAGGGAGCTACATCATCTTTCCAGCAATTTAGTGCTGGCCTTGCCCTGCCCACCATGTAACCAAAAGCCCCAGTGGCCACCATGCCCTGGAACCCTCTCGCATACACAGAGGTGTCAGGTTAAGCTACATCACTTCTTTCCACATAACACTGTCTAGTCTCCTTAACTGGAAAATTTAATACTTGCCAATTCGCAAATTAAGGGTCTTCAGCAGGGACCTGTCCCAGATTGCAGAAATTTGGCTCACAGTCATCAGGAACAGCTCACAACAGATTGCGAAAGGAAGCAAAACGCTGCAGAAAGCTTTAAGGACAGGCCCTCAGCTTATTTCCTCTCAGCTGCTGGTGTTAATACTCTTGCTGACTGCCTCACTCACAGAGATTGCAGCAGATCACGGTGATTCTAACTGCATGCAGGGTGGGAGGCAACCGGGGCATTAACACACGAGCTGCAGGACAGACCTGCTGCAGTGCTTTCTGTTTCCTGGCCTCTTCGTCTTGCCTGCGCCGCGCCTCGGCCTCCTCCATCTTCTTGGCAGCYGCTTTCTTTTTGATCTTTTCCTCTGCCAGCCTTTCTTCCCGCACCTAGGACACAGGGCATGCCTCAGTCTGAGGGRCATGTGAAGTATCTCAACAGTCAGTCTCAAGGATGAAGAGCTCCCGCGCACTCAGGAAGCAAAGGCTTCCCCCTCTTAGCCACTGGGAGTCCAAGTAGCCTGTGTGTTCTTTTTAAACACTAATAGTCAGGGAAATTACCTTCTTTTGGATCTCCACCAGAATGGAGGAGATTCTGTTGTGATATCTTTTACATCAAATATAACAGAGCCCATTAGAACACATTTSCAGCAGCATAAAATAAGTGAAGCACATAGAGGTACTGCAGGCAAGACAACCAACTGCTACGGTCCTATTGCAAGGTGGCTGAAAGCTTCAGCTAAAGGAAGCCTGGTTGCTTCCCTGGTTCATCTGTTAATCGTATGGAAAACAAGTAAACAAASGCAGCCTAAATACAACCCCTTTAGATTAATAATTCTGGAAAACAAAGCCTTTAATCTTCTGTTAGCTGTAACCAAGACCAATAAGGCACAGTTTAAATTCCCTGAATGCCAGGTGTCTGAAAAGCTCTTCATTCAGAGATGCTCAGCTCCACCTTTTCTGGAAGATCCACTAGCACGACACAGTTTAGCTCCTGTCTTTGTGCTTAGCTCTGCCCAGTATACTCTATGGGTCCGCGGGRCCTTTACCTTCTCAGTCTTCTCATCGAAGAGCGCCAGCTTCTGCTCGATGCGCCTCTTCCGCTCTTCCTCYATCTGCTCCGCGCGCTCCCGAGCTTGCAGCACTTTGCGGAGACGCTCCTCACGCTTCCTGCAGGACGTGGCCTCACTTTACCAACGTGTCTTAGTGCCTTCCACAGATCTTACAGCCCAAGGATAGGGCAGAGAAAGCTCTCAGGCAGCRGAAAAACTTAGTGCACTACGGCCATTATTTTAAAATATTGGCAATATTTAAGCTTCATCTGAGACAGAGGCAAGAGTATGAAGCGCCAATCAGGTGAACAGAACTTCTTTTAGTAGTAGGTGCTAAACTTCTTAGGTAGACACTAATGCAACAAATGCTGCCTTAGCCGCAGGAGAGCAAACAAACAAGAATTTTTGTTGAAGGGGAACCTGCATGACAAGTGACCTAGATGCAAAGACCTACAAGCCCAGGGCACGCAGTCTGGACAGGGCAGAAAGCAGCTACTCACAGCTTTGCCTCTTCCAGTCGCCTTTTCTTTTCTTCCTCCAACTTCTGCTTCCTCAGCTCCTCGGCCTCTTGCTTTTTCCTCAGAGTCTCTAGTTTCTGCCTCTCCTTTTCCTAGGGTGCATCAAAAGGGTAATTAGGGACCCGGAGACAACAGAAAGGAGCTGCAGCCACAACCAGGGGAGGTCCTAAGCCTAAGAAAGATCTCAAGTAGCCTGCGATGTGGTCGTACCTGGTTGGGAACGGATGCAATGAAAAACAGGGCAACGGTGTTAAACATTAACAGCAAAAGGTGCTTGCAAATTGAAACAGAACCATCAGCTCTTAGACTCCAAGAAATTTCTGCAGAGGCTGCAGACAACTCCATAACACCAGTAAAAAGGACCTAAAAATGTRGAATAGCTGCCAAGCATTAGCACCAATTTCCTGCAGCTTAACAGGGACAGGTGGTACTCTAGGAAACACCTTGCTTATCCAGTTCCCATTGGTTTCTTTGCTTCCCACAAAGATTTCTCACAGCAAAGCACCGTTTAGAGCCTTTATAGTTTATTTTGGGCACATGTTCAGCTCCATATGTCATCTGGACAGAAACGTAGGGTATTTTTACCCCATTTTCACCAACAATCCAGCTAACTTGGTCTAAATATATTATCAATTAGTAGAGCAAGGTGGAGTCAGCACCAAAGTCACAGCAATCACATTAAGAGAAGCTAATTCAATGTCAGAAGGGGTACAGCAACTGCCAAGTTATGACAGCTCAGTGCAAGCAAGAGCACCGATGAGCAGCGTAAGTGCTTAGGAGATTAGCTCACCCTGTGCTCCATAGCACAAAAGATTGGAGGTTATTTGTACCCAAACTAGCTAAATTTGAATTATTAGATCTTATTTCTTTGGTGTTACTTAGTTCTGTTTAGTCCCCAGATAAAAAAAAAAGGTCAGTGAGGGAGAAGCTGCCTGCTTGGAATGAGACTTAAAATACAACATTCAGTGAAACTGAAGCACAGGATCCACTAGTCAGAGGGGTTTTCTCATCACATCAGCTCTTTTAYCAATATGGAGAGCAATCTAATCTCCCTCACTTTCCTGCTGACATAAAAGGTTGAATCCTTCACTGCTTCAGCAGATGAGAAGTTTATCATTAGGGAATACGGCAAGATTCACCAAGCAGTGCAACTATGACAGTTTTAAGCAATAAGGCAGTCTTAAGCAAACTTCAGTTTTTGCAGGATGATGCTCTCTCCCTCAAGTAAAACAGGTCCTAGAATTACCTTATTCCACAAACAAGTTATTGGATACAGAAAGTTTCGTGTAAACAGAGTGCACAGGAACCAGCCTTAAAAGGGGGACTTTGGGTGCACAGGTTTGTTACACACTCACCCAAAATGCAACATGCAAGACTCTTAGWTTTCCTTCCCCCGTCCTTTCCAGTTTTCCTTCCTCTGACACTCTTAGGCTGCTCGGGAGTATTACATAAATGCCATAGCATAAGAACCCATGGGAGTTGTCTAATGACAAGTTTGATACTTGATGTAAGTGTAAACAGTTATCCCTTGGTTTATCACAGATCAGGAATTTTGTTTGGCATTGGTGCGTTAACTTGGCCACCTAGTAGCCCATCATCTACTAACCTATGCCTCAAAGTCTCATCTTACCTTAGGATCAGTTTGAAGAGGAGTGTTGTGCCTGATGAAAGATTTAATTACACCACTTCTCCCCACAGAACTGGGGGTCATGAGGAGCTGATTCTTCTGCACAGTGTGCAAAAACGTTTTGAAAGGACGTACAACCTGTGAGAAGAATGCCAAAAATCACCCTCGGGAGACTAACCAGGCAGGAGCTGTAGATGCAGTGCCGCATGGACACGAGCAGCTTACCTTGCTGGCCGGACAGAGAGGGGATGGGATCTTTCTTCTTGGAGGAGAAAGGCCTCCATCTTCTGCTTGCTGGTGGTCGTAGCGATGGTCCACAGCTCTTTTGTAGCTTGGCTTTCTCCTGTGAGGGGAAAAACGCRGGTCCTCATAGATGGCAAACCCTCCCAAGTGCCAAAGCCAGGTTTAGGAGGAGGTCGTGCAAACCATTTTAGCTAAAAGAAACTTTATTTTGCATGCTCAAGCAGTTATCCAAGAAAAAAAGCTTCTAATGTGAGAGAAGATACAAATTAAATCCTTTTTCTCTTTTCTTCTAGTGGGAAGGGCAACATACTGCAGAAATTTCAGAATCGCAAAGCACTGAAACTGTTGAACATTTCAGTGTTGRCCTGGTTTTGAGCAGGGAACTAGAGCTCTCCAGAGGTGCCTTTGGACCTCAACGATTCTATAAGCATACCTGGCACTCTGGGGCGGGTCCTGGGTTTCCTCATTCTTATTTAAGTTGCTTTCTGAAAGAAAATGCAATAACTCAGTCAATTSCAGAAGAAAAACAAACAAAAAAGCATCAGAAAAGCCTCCACCTCAGGTAAAGTAGCTCATGTTTTTGAGTTTCCCAGTCAGTCTCACAAAAGGCAGGACTTAAGATTCTGCCCAAATCCAGCAGTTACCTTTGTTGCTCGTCTCCTGTGACCGCTCATCTCTGTTGAGGGTCCGCGTGCGAAGTGACATTCGTGGACTTTGGACATTCTGCAGGAGAAGCAGACAGGGTTTGGGCACAGTTCTCACACCCACAAAGGCAATTACTCTTTCAAGCCACCTTATTCAGGCAGTTTGCAATATTGCCAGAGAAAACATACTGGAAATTAGTGGTRCTAGTCCTGGGTTAAGTCCTAACCTCAGCCGTGAAAGATATTTCAGGACTCCATCAAGCCCCCGTTGTCACTGTCCTGCTCATTTAACACAGAACATGAATGTCCATAATGAGAGATTTTCTACTCGGACRGAGCAAGGAAACGCCTAAACCATCAAGGACAAAGCATTTCCAAGAKGGAAATTTGTTTATGGCTGCTGGACTTGGGGCAAAAAATCAGGCACAGCTCATTTTAGTTCACAGGGCCTAATGGACCAGCAGGTAGGCTGGCAGCTACAAAGGAGCGGGAAGAGAAGAATGGAAACTAAGGAAGCAGTTGGGAAGGACAAAGAATCTCATCTGAGGACAGAGTATATCTAAGTATAGTATAGCTGTAGAAAGCCTCTTGTAGRCCAGCAGAAGCACAAGGATCTGAATAATTTGGGCATCAGACCTGGGAAGCAGCTGGCCTTTAGGCAACAGCAGTACACAGGGATTGCCTTCATCTGTTGCTACGGACGAAACACGTGCCAGTCTGAAGAGGCTGCCGAGTCGCTCTGTTTTCAAGTCGCACAATTGCTCAAAATGATTTTTGGTGGAAACCAGACCGTTTGGTTTGCTGAGAAAACCCCTGATAGATGGGCTAAGGTAACCTGGTGGCGCACACCAATGGTGTGTTACAAARTTATTTATAAATGCATCAGGGGAAAGAAAAAAAATCAGTTGTATTTGCATACCTGCAGAGACCTCCCCTCCCACATAACATGTTCATTTCAAGCCTTTGCACAGTCATAACTCAGGTGAGCTAAAATCTGTGGCCACTAGAACTACATTTGCTTGAATGATTGTGGGTGGCAAAAAGCACAGCTTAAAAATTACATATAAGCTTGTCCTTCCTCACAGAAGTCCTAAGGCCACAGAGCTCCATCACTTTCAACAGCCAAGGTCTGAGCTAATGCGGTTCTGCATGAAATGCTGGCATAATCCTGACARTCTTCCTCGTGAGGCCAGTGAGAATTCTGGAGGAAGATGTTTTGGCTTCAATGATATTTGCAGATTTCTCTGGTCACTGCAACACAAACTGACAAGCTCTATATGATTTGCAGAGCTAATGAAAAGGTCAAAAAAGCTTTTAAAATACCAAGACTGTAACAGTGCCCAAACTCTGCACAACTCAAACCCTTTTTTAAATGTCAAGATTATTTATCTATATGGATAAGGATTCGGCACTGAATTTTCACGCAGCTTATCTCTAGCAAGAGCCAGAAAGCAGGTCCCTGTTCTGAATATCAGCATCACCAAGGCCTCAGTTTGGTGCTGTTATGTATCAATTATTTTCCTGGAATATATATATATATATATATATATTTATATGTGCTTATGTAAGATGAGGAAGAGTGATTCTATCTAATTTCAGCAAGCCTTAGCTCTGCAGTGTCTCAGGTAAGATGGTACTGACTGACAGGATACCTCAACATGCAGCCAAAATAAGCCTGGAGTCACATGTGCTCATTCATTCTCCCAGATGAGTCTTGCTAATTTCTGTTGTACTGATTTGGGAACATTGTGATCCCTTACTCATTTGGGAACATCATGATTGACTTGACAATATCAGACTTTCTCTTGTCTGCCTATGGAAGCAGGTAGGCTATAAATAGGCTCGTGTACACAATCAAGACTAGACCTCTGCAGCCAACTGCTCTAAACTGTCTTTATTCAATTTATTCTTTACTCTTACTCATACAACCACGGTGACTGAACTTTGCTGTGCTCGGAACTCCTCTAATCCTCAGACAGATGCGTTTAACACATTTTAATCACAAGTCCACACAAGCAGAAATGCTTTTAGCTTCTGTTTAAATCTTACCAGCTTGGAGGGGGTGCAGAGTCCAGAATGAGGCCTACAAAGAAAAACAACCATGTTTAATAGCTAGCTGTAAACAGTGCATTTTAAATCAAAAATGTCACTTAAGAAAGCCTCCAAGCATGATTTTAAGGCTAAAAGAATCTCTTAAGGTGCCTCACCCAGTTTTGACAGCTGTTTCTTCCTCCCCTGGCACCTCTCCATTGCTGAGACCTGAAAGGAAAGCAAGGCCAAAGCTGTAAGACACAGGGACAGGCCAGGGCGCAGCCCAGGCCGCCCCTGCAAGTCCCGATACCTCCTTGCAATTCAGGCAGGCGTTGCTACGAGTAAGGGTGAGACTTCAGCAGCGTTGGAGAAACCCCTGCCTACCMTTTTAACAAGAAAACAGATTTTTCAGTGATACATAGCAGGAAGATCCTTTCAGGTTTTGCAAATGGTGGGAAGGAATAAAGCCTTCCTTAAGCACCTCGGAAAACGCAGATCACAACAGTGAGGTAAAAGCTTTCACGGCTCTTCAAACTTAGAGCTGAGAACACTGTCCCTCCAGTTTCATTCTTCCCTAGGGAGMTCTTGGAGCAGAGGCAGCAGCTCACATGGAACTGTTCCCCGCACAGGAAAAGTTACAGGAGCGCAGTATTACAGTTCTACAAAAACATTCCAGTGGGATCATTGTGTTGATATCAAGGAAAATATCAAAGTGTTTGTCCAGATCTATCCAGGTTTAGCTGCATTTGGCYAATGCTTCAAGAAGCTTCAGTTCCTTACAGCACAGATCCCACACAAGAATGCTGAAGATTAAACCACTGCAGCAGTGACCGTTCAGCTCCACCACCCTGTGGACCTGCATATGTGCAAGAGCGCCAGTCTCTCCTGCCCCACACGGAAGAGCCTCTCTTGCATCACCTGTATTTCAGGAGCCATTTATTTGTTCATTCAAGAGCCACTTATTTTTTGCCTGACCCTCAGCTCAAGAGGCAGTATTCAGCACTCCACTGTCCTGCAGTCAACCCAACAACGGCATTCCAGCAGCAAGAACTTTTAAACCCTTTACGTTAATCGATTAAGAGTATTTAAATCAGTTCATATTCTTCAGAGAAATCTGTCCCTCCTGTGACTTGCMACACTCTCCCAAGCTTTTGGAAGAGATTTACATAGTTTAGCCCCAAAATTTCCTTCCCAAAACAAGGACTCTGGAGCTAGCAGGCATTTTGCTTAAAGAGCAGTGGAGTTATAAATAAATCACTGTCACATTTTCCAGAAAACACTCACCTGTGTGAGAGCTTATACCTCTTTAGAAAAGCAGCCATAGAGCTGCTTGTCACACAAGTTCCCTTCAGCAGCAGAGCAACCATGCAAAAGAAACTTCTCTGGGAACATTTAAACTTACAGTTCACGGGGTTGGAGGACACGGAGGACTTGCGAGCGCTCCTCCTCTTGGCGGCCGCCCTGCTGAGGGATTTGCGGAGGGTGCTCTGCCTTTTGCTGGCTCGCGAGTATTTCTCCGCCAAGGAGGTCCTGCGGATCGTGGAGGGTCTCCCCATGAGGCTTCTGCGCACGGAGCGACGGCTGAGCCTGGAGCGCGTCGGAGTCCCCGGGCTCTCCCTCATGGGCTGGGAAGGCTCTTTTCCAGAGCCCTCCTGATGCTCTGGTGCCTGAGCAGGAACATCTACCTCCTGYGCCTTAGGCTCTTCGTTTATAATGACCGTGGTGTTAGCGGCATTTGTTGTGTTTGACTTAAAAGCACCRTGGCTTTCTCCTATGTTTTTTGCCTTAGGGGTGTGAGGAGCCACCAGAATAGAAGCTCCAAGCTCAGGCTGCGGTTCTGCAGCACTGCTTTCCTGTGCAGAAACATCTCCGGGGCTCAGGATGATGGTGGTGGAGACCTTCTCCTCTAGCTTAGAGGCGCTCTTCTGCAGGTGTAACTCAGCGCTGAGGCGCTCGTTGACCCCAATTTCTACTAAGAGAACCTTTCCTTCAGCTGGCTGGACAGAGGACTTCTCCAGAGGGACCTCGGAGCGCTTGGCAAGTGCTGCGAACTGGGACCTTGTCAGACGTTGAGATGAGGAGACATCTTCAGCTGCAGACCCGACGAGCTCCAGGTTTTCTTTATTTTGGACTCTTTGAGAGCGTCGCTCAAAGGACACTGGCTTGAGACTGCTTTTGCGACGGCGAGATATTCTAGCAACAGAAACAGCTGGTTAGACCGGAACTGGATTCAGGAATACACCCAAATTCCTAACAAAGCAGCTCTGCACACACTGATTTGGGGATTAGAGATGGCTGGTTYAGGATTGGGAGTGCAGCAGGTACAAAAGAGCCTGTCTGAATCTCTGTTGGCAGGGCTTGCTGAACCACTTCCACAGACCAACTCAAACATGCAGGGCAACAACGACACTGGAGACCCCACGGGATCTCAGCACAATACAGGCTGAAAGCAGCTAGGTCGGTAACTCGACCTGARGGAAGAAGGGCCAGAGAACTGAGGAGCGCAGAAACACAGCGAGGAACCGAGGAGCACAAGTCACCACGTTCCCACAGCGCGGTGCAAGAGGGAGCCTCGGCGCTATAACCCCTTCGGAGCGCCAGGTTAGCGAGGGCTTGGGAAGGCAGAACCGCGCCGAGGGGCAGGGGGAAGCCCGTCCGTGGGTAACCCCCCATTCCCAAGGAAGCTTTCCCACGTTTTCCCGGGCTCCCTCCTTACGGAAGGAGGCCTTTGCACCGCGTTCCTCGCCACAGCTTCCCGGGCCGCGGCGCGGGAGGAAGCCGGGGAACGGGGCAGGGACGAGGCCGGGCCCCGCGCCGCGCTCACCTCTTCCTGGCCGGCTCCTGGCTCTCGCCCTGCAGGGCGGACAGGCGCTTCCTGCGCTGCCGGTTCCGCTGCGACGGCGTCTTGGGCATGAGCTCGGGCTCGTCGCTGTAGTGGCTGCGCGGGGGGAGAGGCCGTTAACGGCGCCCAGCGGCGGTTGGGGCGGGGCGGGGGAAGGGAAGGTACCTGCTGAACATCCTGGCGGCCTCCTCGCGGATCTCGCGCAGCCACACGAGGTCCGCGTCGTCCACCTGCCGCAGGAAGTCGCGCAGGCGGCGGCGGCCCAGCGCGGGCAGCTGCGCCAGGTCGGCCATGGCCGCGGCCGGCCCGCGCGCCCTGCCTCCCGCCTCGGCCATGGCCGCGGCCGGCCCGCGCGCCCTGCCTCCCGCCTCGGCCATGGCTGCGCCCGCCGCGCGCCTCGAATTCAAACCTAACGCTCGCCCCGCGCGCGTCACCGCCCCGGCGGCCAATCACCGGCGCGCCGCCTCCGGCGCGCCCTCCCCATTGGCCGCCAGCGCGCTCAAAATGCCGGCCCCACCAGCTCTATGGTTGTGGAGGACTGTGAGCTGTGGAAGGCCGCCAGGCTGCATGGTTTTAAAGGCGGGCGGTTGATGGGCAGCGGTGAGAGCCAATAAGAGGCCAGCTTGGGCGGGCGCGCGCCGTCTGATTGGTTCCCGCCTTGATGACCTCAGGGCCGGAGGTGGGCGCGGGGAGGGCTGTGTGCGTGTGAGGGCGCTGTGGGGTGAGGAGGGCGTCCTGTGTGRGCGGGAGGGGCCGTTGTGCCCGGGGGGCTTCCGCCCCACTGCGGGGAGAGGGTCCTGGAATCGTGCCC